ACTGTTCAGTGATGTCCTATCCTGGATTGTTTTTACTGTGTAGATCATGGTGACGTGTCCTACATGTTTCCGAAGTGTATTAATTATGGATATCAGCCATAGATATCGGAGCACATATATATTGTGAGGATCGTTACCGTCAATAACAAGCCCATCTCTCAAGCGCATCGTTTTGTGAATGTATCACATCATCTGTTAATATAGAAGTAAATTCAAAACCACAACGTACCATAAAAATATTGTAAAAATCATCTTCTCCTGTAATCCATAATGTAACAGAATACAGGACCATAATGTAACAGAATACAGGACCATAATGTAACAGAATACAGGATCATACTGTAACAGAATACAGGACCATGATGTAACAGACATAATGTAACAGAATACAGGGCCATAATGTAACAGAATACAGGACCATGATGTAACAGACATAATGTAACAGAATACAGGGCCATAATGTAACAGAATACAGGACCATAATGTAACAGAATACAGGACCATAATGTAACAGACATAATGTAACAGAATACTGGACCATAATGTAACAGAATACAGGACCATAATGTAACAGAATACAGGGCCATAATGTAACAGAATACAGGACCATAATGTAACAGAATACAGGACCATAATGTAACAGACATAATGTAACAGAATACTGGACCATAATGTAACAGAATACAGGACCATAATGTAACAGAATACAGGACCATAATGTAACAGAATACAGGGACATAATGTAACAGAATACAGGGACATAATGTAACAGACATAATGTAACAGAATACTGGACCATAATGTAACAGAATACAGGACCATAATGTAACAGAATACAGGACCATAATGTAACAGAATACAGGGACATAATGTAACAGAATACAGGACCATAATGTAACAGAATACAGGACCATAATGTAACAGAATACAGGGCCATAATGTAACAGAATACAGGGCCATAATGTTACAGACATAATGTAACAGAATACAGGGCCATAATGTAACAGAATACAGGACCATAATGTAACAGAATACAGGACCATAATGTAACAGACATAATGTAACAGAATACTGGACCATAATGTAACAGAATACAGGACCATAATGTAACAGAATACAGGACCATAATGTAACAGAATACAGGGACATAATGTAACAGAATACAGGGACATAATGTAACAGACATAATGTAACAGAATACTGGACCATAATGTAACAGAATACAGGACCATACTGTAACAGAATACAGGATCATACTGTAACAGAATACAGGATCATAATGTAACAGAATACAGGACCATACTGTAACAGAATACAGGATCATACTGTAACAGAATACAGGACCATAATGTAACAGAATACAGGGCCATAATGTAACAGAATACAGGACCATAATGTAACAGAATACAGGGCCATAATGTAACAGAATACAGGGCCATAATGTAACAGAATACAGGACCATAATGTAACAGAATACAGGGCCATAATGTAACAGACATAATGTAACAGAATACAGGACCATAATGTAACAGAATACAGGGCCATAATGTAACAGAATACAGGGCCATAATGTAACAGAATACAGGACCATAATGTAACAGAATACAGGGCCATAATGTAACAGAATACAGGGCCATAATGTAACAGAATACAGGACCATAATGTAACAGAATACAGGGCCATAATGTAACAGACATAATGTAACAGAATACAGGACCATAATGTAACAGAATACAAGGCCATAATGTAACAGAATACAGGGCCATAATGTAACAGAATACAGGACCATAATGTAACAGAATACAGGACCATAATGTTACAGACATAATGTAACAGAATACAGGGCCATAATGTAACAGAATACAGGGCCATAATGTAACAGAATACAGGATCATACTGTAACAGAATACAGGACCATAATGTAACAGAATACAGGGCCATAATGTAACAGACATAATGTAACAGAATACTGGACCATACTGTAACAGAATACAGGATCATAATGTAACAGAATACAGGACCATAATGTAACAGAATACAGGGATATAATGTAACAGAATACAGGACCATAATGTAACAGAATACAGGGCCATAATGTTACAGACATAATGTAACAGAATACAGGGCCATAATGTAACAGAATACAGGGCCATAATGTAACAGAATACAGGATCATACTGTAACAGAATACAGGACCATAATGTAACAGAATACAGGGCCATAATGTAACAGACATAATGTAACAGAATACTGGACCATACTGTAACAGAATACAGGATCATAATGTAACAGAATACAGGACCATAATGTAACAGAATACAGGACCATAATGTAACAGAATACAGGACCATAATGTAACAGAATACAGGGCCATAATGTAACAGACATAATGTAACAGAATACTGGACCATAATGTAACAGAATACAGGACCATAATGTAACAGAATACAGGGCCATAATGTTACAGACATAATGTAACAGAATACAGGACCATACTGTAACAGAATACAGGATCATAATGTAACAGAATACAGGGCCATAATGTAACAGAATACAGGACCATAATGTAACAGAATACAGGGCCATAATGTAACAGAATACATGGCCATAATGTAACAGAATACAGGGCCATAATGTAACAGAATACAGGACCATAATGTAACAGAATACAGGGCCATAATGTAACAGAATACAGGGCCATAATGTTACAGAATACAGGGCCATAATGTAACAGAATACAGGACCATAATGTAACAGAATACAGGGCCATAATGTTACAGACATAATGTAACAGAATACAGGGCCATAATGTAACAGAATACAGGACCATGATGTAACAGACAAAATGTAACAGAATACAGGGCCATAATGTAACAGAATACAGGACCATAATGTAACAGAATACAGGGCCATAATGTTACAGACATAATGTAACAGAATACAGGGCCATAATGTAACAGAATACAGGACCATGATGTAACAGACATAATGTAAAAGAATACAGGGCCATAATGTAACAGAATACTGGACCATAATGTAACAGAATACAGGACCATAATGTAACAGAATACAGGACCATAATGTAACAGAATCCAGGATCATAATGTAACAGACATAATGTAAAAGAATACAGGGCCATAATGTAACAGAATACAGGGCCATAATGTAACAGAATACAGGGCCATAATGTAAAAGAATACAGGGCCATAATGTAACAGAATACAGGACCATAATGTAACAGAATACAGGACCATAATGTAACAGACATAATGTAACAGAATACAGGACCATAATGTTACAGAATACAGGACCATAATGTAACAGAATACAGGGCCATAATGTAACAGACATAATGTAACAGAATACAGGGCCATAATGTAACAGACATAATGTTACAGAATACAGGACCATAATGTAACAGAATACAGGACCATAATGTAACAGAATACAGGGCCATAATGTAACAGAATACAGGACCATAATGTTACAGAATACAGGACCATAATGTAACAGAATACAGGGCCATAATGTAACAGACATAATGTAACAGAATACAGGGCCATAATGTAACAGACATAATGTTACAGAATACAGGACCATAATGTAACAGAATACAGGGCCATAATGTAACAGAATACAGGACCATAATGTAACAGAATACAGGGCCATAATGTTACAGACATAATGTAACAGAATACAGGGCCATAATGTAACAGAATACAGGGCCATAATGTAACAGAATACAGGGCCATAATGTAACAGAATACAGGGACATAATGTAACAGAATACAGGACCATAATGTAACAGAATACAGGGCCATAATGTTACAGACATAATGTAACAGAATACAGGGCCATAATGTAACAGAATACAGGGCCATAATGTAAAAGAATACAGGGCCATAATGTAACAGAATACAGGGCCATAATGTAAAAGAATACAGGGCCATAATGTAACAGAATACAGGGCCATAATGTAACAGAATACAGGGCCATAATGTAACAGAATACAGGGCCATAATGTAACAGAATACAGGGCCATAATGTAAAAGAATACAGGGCCATAATGTAACAGAATACAGGGCCATAATGTAACAGAATACAGGGCCATAATGTAACAGAATACAGGGCCATAATTTAATTGGAATTCCCTACGTCATTGTTCGATCTGTGAGAAGTAACCTGAATATCACAGTGGCAGAATTTCACGACAAAAACATATTTTATTTGACTGAAACAGATCTCATCCCTAATATACCTTACTAAGAAATTACCTTATGTTTCCATTCCATTAACCTCTTTAGACTGGACAAGAGATAAGGACCAGAGGGAGGGGTATTGATCTACAGCAAACTGTACTTATTAAAATAAGACATCAAAACTAGTGGTATAAAATTGATCAGGACAGAGTTTTATTGATAGATATCAACATATCATTTCAGATGTTATTATGAGGTGGACATTCCAACAAAACATGGTATGACTTTTCACAGAGACAACTACAAGCACACGAAAGGGAGAAACATCACAAGGAGGAAAACCATTACACAAAAGTGAATCGTCCCAAAATTATATAGAAAATTCTTATTTTTTTATCAACTGGGGTACTTTTTCCACGAGTGGAGGGTCGATGTGCTTTTACACGGGGACATAATGACCTATATTACACGGATGTTATATGTGATAAACTACCAACACATATACATCTTTTTCCAGATGTCATCACTTAATTTAATAAGAAAAAAATAATCATAATAATAACACATTCCAAAAGCTAAACAAGAGTTATCTCCCATTAACTGTGAGATATTACATTATTAATGGGTATGTGTGTAAGTTTGCTACTAATTAGAGCTCAAATAGGCCAAACCTCGTGTCCGATATTCTTGATATATCTAAGATAAATAAAATTTCGTCGGAAGTAATAAATATGGAATGAGCAATGCTTGTTACTTAGTAACAGGTTTTTCGTCTCCGCGGCTGGTTTGCTCTGGTTACGTTTATTGAGTACCTGACGTGTTATTAGCATTTAGCATATTCCAAACTTTCATCATTTTATTTGGGTCTTTAAATCCATGTGAAGCAAACATATTCGATCGTCTGATTTGCTTACCATTATAGAAGGATGCTCTATTACCGAAGTAATGATTGTGAGTTGGGCGGATATTAAGTTTCTTTGCAACAATTCCTAAATAACTATCATCTATTCCAAGATACTTAACATACGGAAATGCTATTTGAAATTTCTGCGCTGTTGAAAATGATACAATGTATGCGCCTCCGGCTAAGTAAGGTGGCCACGAGTCGTAACCATAATCTTCCCATGACACGAACCATTTCGACTTGACATCCCTGTAAGGTTTGGAGTGAGGTAGAAGATAACCTGTCAGCAAATGGACAGATTCGGAGGAATGGACGCCCGTAAGATAGTTATATATATTAGACAAGAACACATAATGATCATCATCAACGAAAAAGAAGAATGACGCATTCGAACAGAATGTCACTCCCCAGTTAAATCCCATGATGGTTTTGTAAGTGTTGTTAATATATCTATCTCTGAAGTCCTCTTGTACCACATCCGAATACTTCTTACTTTCCTCCCGTATAAGTTTCTGATTAGCGCCGTCTGTGTTCCCCAGTAAGAACACTATGCGGATATTTGGGGATGGGTCCTTTCCCCAAGAATCGCGTATGCCTTTACGTAGATCCAAGTTACGGACAGCAGATTTTACCAGAACTAACAATTTTACCGTGTCTTTAGGTCCGGAAAACTGACATTTTTCAGGCTTGTGCAAATATCGAAAGTTATGAGGATTGATAGGTTTAATGTCAATTGGTGTATCATCCAACATCTTCCTATTCACAAGGTAGGACAAATTCACATTCAAAGGGTATCGGAAATTCCTCATGGATAGAATTTTTCTTTCTCTGTGTTGAAAAGTCCTATTTAGACGTGGCACGTCGATTGGACCAGGTTTAATTGTCTTTCGCGATTTTAATGTAATGTTTCTAAACGTCGGTATTTTGGTAGAACGGTTCATCATTTCGAAAAATACCGAGACTTTTTTATTGTAGGAATGTACCAAGGTAGTATCTTCAAAGAATGATAGGACTGTGAATACCGAGAAAAGAAGTAACAGATATAAGAACACATTCCTAAATCGTCCACAAAGCCAAGATATATAGTGTTGTTTTTTCATCTTTTACTTTCAAACACAATTGCACTGGATGTGTTCGACGTCCTTCGTATATCAGTTAATCCTCTACCGGTTTAGACAATGCTGAAATGGTATAATTCTTATCGTTTCAGTAAGGTTTTACACTCATCCATCAACCATTATTCATTTGCTTTGTAAGTCCAAGATCCCAAAACGACACAGGGTGTGATGTTTCCAGTGCAGTTGTTACTGGACAAAGGCTTGTACTCGCTTCACATGGTTTATTTCTAAAATCACGGAAACAATTTTAATTTCCAGAAGCATGCAAGTCGTTAACCTGAAATGATATAAGGATGGAATGAGTAATCACGTCGCAGTGTCGCTACCCGCCCACACTCATACTGTTAACAGACGATATGATAACATAATATTAGAATGTTAGGTGATTGTGTTGGGAAAGGGGTTGGGGGGTTAGTTTGTTCGAAATATAACGTCAGTTTTAACGTCATCCCTCCACAAGTTGTTCAACAAGTTTAAAACCCCTTATGATTAACGTTAAACCGACAGCGGTACATATAAACACTGATTAGGTAACAAAATTGTAGTTGCAATTGTGAGTTAATTACATGTATCACCCCACATTAAACCATTTGCACCTTACCTATCATCGTGTTAAAGTTTCTCTTACACACATCGCCACAGCTACAATCATTTCTGCATCTCTTATCATTCCGTGTATATACATTTCTGACGCTTCTATCATCCGTCCCACATACCATCAATTCGTCCTACTCACAGTCCCATATAAACAATATGCCTTCCCTATCACCCAAAACACAATTTTGCAAAATTAATAATAAAGATAGAATGTTGAGTTTCTTGGAAGCTACATTTGACGGGCTTGTATTGTATAATGTACGTCAACAGTTTTACGGATGGCCTGATTTACGGATATTACAGTTGTTTAAATCTTATTTTTCTTTGTCCGTTTTTATTGTAACCGACACATGTTTTGAATCAGTAATTGAATTTGTATTGTGTTACAGTCAGGAATAAAGTTCGTGATTGATTTTAGAATTCCCAAAACGGTCATGTGTACATTGGTGACGGATGCATTCAACAGTGTAGAAATAATGATACAATATGGTAAATCAGAACTTTCTATTTGATCAGCGTCATGTCACACACACACATAAAAAACTATCATTTACTGTGATATGTTATGGATATTTTCAATACCTCATTTCCTACCTTTAGACTTTTATGGACCTGCTTGAAATACAGTCTATCCCGCAGTGTGAAAAATGTAAACCTATAAATCAGACATAACAGGGAGCAAGAATATCGATTTTCAAAGAGATTATAGAACCGCAAAAAGAGTTTCCAGTTTATGTGCGACATATTTCATTGTCTTTTTTTTTTTTTATTTTAAAGAGGCTCGGCTAGGTGCAAGGACAATGAAAAAGACAACTTTATATCCATCCCAAAACTTAACTTCTAAACGAAATTCTAAAAATATCGCTTATCGTATATCTTTTCTTTACACATTTCAATACGACAGTTTGCCTGGTGTTAAATATTTTTGCCTCGGTAAGTAACGTGAAAATATACACCTCTTCCTGGTATTTCTTGTACCGATTTTATCACTGTAGCAAACTTTATGGTGTATTAACGTATAATGTGGCACAACTCTCAGTAGCTATAGAATCTAATTTCTTTCTATCATTTTATTCACATACACTTGTTATTTAGAATAAAAACATGATTTGACAGATGTATTGAATTCCGAGTCAAAATTATGATACAAATATCATCTATAAATCATATATGTATTTTTTCAATCTGAAATGATTCAGGAAGTCTATATCACTCGTGTTAAATTGATTATCAAATATTTTGTACTAGTGCAGCAAATCAAACACTGGAAAACATTGTTTAACCAAACAAATATTTGATGGTTAATTTCACAAATCACAAATGTGTTTCTACCATATGGATAATGATTAGTTTATCTCTATGGTTAATTTCTTTTTTAAACTTATGATTCTTCGAAAATATCAACATAACGTGGCTTCCATATGTTTGTATTGCAGAGCTCCAACGTGACAGAGTAGACACAAGGTCTCACAAATTTCTTGTTTAGAGTTGTTTTCGTCACATTGTTACACATATTAATTGTAGTTTCAACAAAGAATCAATAAGATAAACATAAATTCCACATGAAACATTACTTAATTAACAACCACGATACACAGCATTACTTACCACTAACCGCTTTAGTTTGTTCTGTAGTAAATGTGACGTAGTCAACACTATCTGCTTTTGTTCATTCCAATAGTTTTGGACAACTGCAGTTCTAGCCACTTACATCCTACTGAGCGCTGTACATAGCCTGTATCATCATATTCCTCTAGGGATATATGGACGGATACCTGCTGTCGATTTATGAATATTTAAAAACCTTTTATATGAAACAGAATGACTCCAAACATCACAGTGGTATTTCTACCTAGAAACCAGTATTGGACATCTATAATTCATAATCAGAAAGTACATTCTGTTAAGCTGCTACACAATGTTTGTAACATAACCACAAGGGTACCTGTGTAACTAATAAATTAAACATATGTCCTGAAATTATTTATGCATAGCTGCGCAATGATTGTCACTGTTCAAAGAACAAAATCGTTATGATATAAAGATAAGTAAACAACCTTTCTTTCTTTGTTTCGGTGTTTGTTTCTGTGTTGTTTCGGTGTTTGTTTCTGTGTTGTTTCGGTGTTTGTTTCTGTGTTTGTTTCTGTGTTGTTTCGGTGTTTGTTTCTGTGTTTGTTTCTGTGTTGTTTCGGTGTTGTTTCTATGTTTGTTTCTGTGTTTGTTTCTATGTTTGTTTCTGTGTTGTTTCGGTGTTTGTTTCTGTGTTGTTTCTATATTGTTTCTATGTTGTTTCTATGTTTGTTTCTGTGTTTGTTTCTGTGTTTGTTTCGGTGTTGTTTCTATGTTTGTTTCTGTGTTTGTTTCGGTGTTGTTTCTGTGTTTGTTTCCGTGTTGTTTCTGTGTTTGTTTCTGTGTTGTTTGTGGTGTTTGTTTCTATGTTTGTTTCTGTGTTTGTTTCTGTGTTTTTCTGTGTTTGTTTCCGTGTTGTTTCTGTGTTTGTTTCTGTGTTGTTTCGGTGTTTGTTTCTATGTTGTTTCGGTGTTTGTTTCCGTGTTGTTTCGGTGTTTGTTTCTGTGCTTGTTTCTGTGTTGTTTCGGTGTTTGTTTCTTTGTTTGTTTCGGTGTTGTTTCGGTGTTGTTTCTATGTTTGTTTCTGTGTTTGTTTCTATGTTTGTTTCTGTGTTTGTTTCGGTGTTGTTTCTGTGTTGTTTCTTTTTGTTTCTTTGTTTCTGTGTTTGTTTCTTTGTTGTTTCTATGTTGTTTTGGTGTTGTTTCTGTGTTGTTTCTATGTTGTTTCGGTGTTTGTTTCTGTGTTGTTTCTGTGTTGTTTCGGTGTTTGTTTCTATGTTGTTTCTATGTTGTTTTGGTGTTGTTTCTGTGTTGTTTCTATGTTGTTTCGGTGTTTGTTTCTATGTTGTTTCTATGTTGTTTCGGTGTTTGTTTCTATGTTGTTTCTATGTTGTTTCGGTGTTTGTTTCCGTGTTGTTTCTGTGCTTGTTTCCGTGTTGGTTCTGTGTTTGTTTCTGTGTTCGTTTCCGTGTTGTTTCTGTGTTTGTTTCTGTGTTTGTTTCGGTGTTGTTTCTATGTTTGTTTCTGTGTTTGTTTCGGTGTTGTTTCTGTGTTTGTTTCCGTGTTGTTTCTGTGTTTGTTTCTGTGTTGTTTCGGTGTTTGTTTCTATGTTGTTTCGGTGTTTGTTTCCGTGTTGTTTCTGTGCTTGTTTCCGTGTTGGTTCTGTGTTTGTTTCTGTGTTCGTTTCCGTGTTGTTTCGGTGTTTGTTTCTGTGTTGTTTCGGTGTTTGTTTCTGTGCTTGTTTCTGTGTTGTTTCGGTGTTTGTTTCTTTGTTTGTTTCGGTGTTGTTTCGGTGTTGTTTCTATGTTTGTTTCTGTGTTTGTTTCTATGTTTGTTTCGTTTCTATGTGTTCGTTTGTGTGTTTGTTTCCGTGTTGTGTTTGTTTCTGTGTTTGTTTCTGTGGTGTTGTTTCTGTGTTTGTTTCGTGTTGTTTGTGTTGTTTCTGTGTTTGTTTCTGTGTTGTTTCGGTGTTTGTTTCTGTGTTGTGTTTCTGTGTTGTTTTGGTGTTTGTTTCGGTGTTGTTTCTGTGTTTGTTTCCGTGTTGTTTCTGTGTTTGTTTCTGTGTTGTTTCGGTGTTTGTTTCTATGTTGTTTCTATGTTGTTTTGGTGTTGTTTCTGTGTTGTTTCTATGTTGTTTCGGTGTTTGTTTCTGTGTTGTTTCTGTGTTGTTTCGGTGTTTGTTTCTATGTTGTTTCTATGTTGTTTCGGTGTTTGTTTCCGTGTTGTTTCTGTGCTTGTTTCCGTGTTGGTTCTGTGTTTGTTTCTGTGTTCGTTTCCGTGTTGTTTCTGTGTTTGTTTCTGTGTTCGTTTCCGTGTTGTTTCCGTGTTGTTTCTGTGTTTGTTTCTGTGTTGTTTCTGTGTTTGTTTCTATGTTTGTTTCGGTGTTTGTTTCTGTGTTGTTTCGGTGTTTGTTTCTGTGTTGTTTCGGTGTTTGTTTCTGTGCTTGTTTCTGTGTTGTTTCGGTGTTTGTTTCTGTGTTTGTTTCCGTGTTGTTTCTGTGTTTGTTTCCATGTTGTTTCTGTGTTTGTTTCCGTGTTGTTTCTGTGTTTGTTTCTGTGTTGTTTCGGTGTTTGTTTCTGTGTTGTTTCGGTGTTTGTTTCTGTGCTTGTTTCTGTGTTGTTTCGGTGTTTGTTTCTGTGTTGTTTCGGTGTTGTTTCTGTGCTTGTTTCTGTGTTTGTTTCTGTGTTTGTTTCGGTGTTGTTTCTATGTTTGTTTCTGTGTTTGTTTCTATGTTTGTTTCTGTGTTTGTTTCGGTGTTGTTTCTATGTTTGTTTCTGTGTTTGTTTCGGTGTTGTTTCTGTGTTTGTTTCCGTGTTG